AGGTGGGCCCTCATGGCACAGATGGGTCTTTGGGGTGACGGAGCCTGGACCTTCCCCTCTGAGCACCTTGCACCCAGCAGCTCTCTCTTCTTCCCCGAGGCTTGGCTGTGCGAGCATAGGCAAGGCTGGTTTTGAAAGCTCTTCCCAAGGAAGAGCAGGATCCAGACAGGGCTGTGCTTTTCTGGGCTTGCTGTGCTGTGCAATGGATGTGTCACTGTGGCCCTGTGCTCCCCTCCGGCGAGTCGGTGGGTACAGGGCTGTTCAGGCGCCCGCCGGGGTGACACGCTTTAAATGAGGGGTCGTCCCTGTTGGTCTACTGGAGAAGCCAGTCGAGTAGGTGAGCGACGTTTTTCTCTTCCGTTTGCAGATGGGAGTGGAACAGAGCAGATCCCTGGGGAATTCTGTCCCCTGGGTGCAGGAGAGCGCTGGGTGCAGCCCCGCGCCGTCTGTCTCTGCAGCTTGTCCGTCTGTTTGCGCAGATCACCGCGGAGGAGTCAGAGGATGAGCCGCTGTCCAGAGAGGAGCGAGCGGACGGCCGGCTCAGTGAGCGGGATGCAGCAGAAGGGAACAATGAAGGGGCTGTGACTGAAGAGACTGAAGGCGATAGGCAGAGAGAGGAGGAGGAGGAGGCGGCAGAACAACTGGACCAAACGGTAACTAAACCAGGGGCATCTAGTGATAATGGCAGTCGCCGTGTGAGGGGCAGAGAGAAGGTTTCTTATCTCCCTGTCTCTGTGGGCACCGAGGAGCTTTGTGGGTGCCAGACAAGTGTGTTTCTTTTTCCATAGAATGGTTTGGGTTGGAAGGGACCTCAAAGATCATCTAGTTCCAACCCCTCTGCCATGGGCAGGGACACTCTCCACTACACCAGGTTGCTCAAAGCCTCATCCAACCTGGCCTTGAACACTTCCAGGGATGGGGCATCCACAACTTCTCTGGGCAACCTGTGCCAGTGCCTCACCACCCTCAGAGTGAACAATTTCTTTCTCAGATCCCATCGAAATCTCCCCTCTTTCAGTTTAAAGCCGTTTCCCCTTGTCCTGTCACTACACATCCTTGTGAAAAGTCCCTCTCTAGCTTTCTCCTTGTGCCTGGTTTTTATCAGAGCCTGAGGCTGTGAGCCTCAGGGGAGGGACACAGGCAGGGAGCTTAAACCCAGGTGCTTGGGGCTCCAGATCTGGAGAAGAACAAGCAGTTTGGTGGTGAGGGTCGAGTTTGTGCCTAAAACCCAGGGAGATTTCGCAGCCGCAGAGGGCAGCTTCCTGAGGGAGATCTCGTGCTGCGTCCTCGGGAGCGCGGAGGTCAGGCAAAGCGTGCGGGAAGGGAAGCGCCCTGGGATTCCAAAAAGGAGACTGGTGCTCTGCTCCTTTGGCTGCACAATTCCTTCAGCTCCGCGCCGTGCGTGGGGCTGGGCTGTTCTGTAAACGCTCAGTGGAGCGTTTGTTTTTGGGTGGATCACGTGAAGACTCCGAGCAATGTAAACTAAACATGGAACTTACTCTTTTCTGGGGAGTTTTGTTGTTGTTTTATGTTAAGATTCCCTCCTGTGGTCTGTGTCAGCTCAGAAGTGGCTCCTCACAGAAAGGGGCACTTTAATTAACAGTCTGGCATTGCAGACCTAGCCCGTGTCTGACTGGGGACGGGGGTGGCAGGGAGTGAAGGGGGGGTCGGCCCCTTGGCCTCACCTGTTAGGGCTCAGCATGTGCCCGTGGGTTTTGGGTGCCAGGAGCAAAGACTGCGCCATCCAGCTGTGCTGGTGGCCTCAGCCAGCCCACGCTGTGCAGTGTGGGCTCTGCTCCGGGTGTCCGGCGGGCCATGACCCACGGAATTTGCCACGTAAGCACCGCAGAGCACACCCGCTGCTTCTCTCAGCTTCCCGGGTAGACATGGGGGAGCCCTCGGCAGGCATCTCCTTGCCAGATGGGGTCTGCGCCTTCCTCTGGTTCTGAAATCAGCTCAGGAGCTGTGGGATTGTTCTGGTGACGCTATTACTCATTGCATTACCTGCATGGATCCTGGAAATGTGCTTTCCAGCTCCATACGCCTTGGGGAAGAGCCGGCGTGGACGGCGGCGTGCCTGTCGTGTCAGGGAACGCCACACAGCGTCGTGAGCTGGCGTAGCTGTGTCGGCAGCAAGAGGAGCCCGTGTCACGCGGTGCTGTCGGGCAGCTGTTGGTTTCTGTGGAAATCAGAGTGACTGATGAAACTGTTGTGCTCACTAGAAAGACAGAAACAAAGTTTATTCCAGGGAGTAAGGGAGGCCCGAGACATTTCTTCCACACCTGGTGTATCTAAACTGCTTCCTGCCTGATTCAGCTCTGAAGTCCCCAACGTCAGAAGGACATGGAGCTGCTGGAGTGGGTCCAGAGGAGGCCACGGAGATGATCCAAGGGCTGGAGCACCTCTGCTATGGAGACAGGCTGAGAGAATTGGAGCTGTTCAGCCTGGAGAAGAGAAGGCTCCGGGGGGATCTTATTGCAGCCTGCCAGTACCTAAAGGGGCTACAGGAAAGCTGGAGAGGGACTTTGGACAAGGGTGTGTGGTGACAGGACACGGGGCAATGGCTTTAAACTGAAAGAGGGGAGATTTAGATTAGATAGAAGGAAGAAATTCTTCCCTCTGAGGGTGGTGAGGCACTGGCACAGGTTGCCCAGAGAAGCTGTGGCTGCCCCATCCCTGGAAGTGTTCAAGGCCAGGTTGGATGGGGCTTTGGGCAACCTGGTGTAGTGGAGAGTGTCCCTGCTCATGGCAGGGGGGTTGGAACTGGATGATCTTTGAGGTCCTTTCCACCCCAAACCGTTCTGTGATTCTGTTTCATAGTCTCAGATGTTGATTTGAAAGTCAGCTGAAGTTTAACCCTTGCGTTGGTAAACCTTCGATGCTCTCCTCCATTTTCTCCTTGTGTTTTGATTTCCACTCGCTGACAAACGTGAAAGGGTGAATCTTAGTTTCATTTAAGGGTCTTCCTGCCATGCTGATCCCTGTGGGAAATGCTCTTCTCCCCTGTGGAGCTTTCATCCCTGCCATCCGTGGGCATGCTCTGACAGCTGTTCCGTTTCTCTTTGCAGCCTACGTTGAGTAACAAGCCACGAAAGAAAAAAAAGAAAAGGAAAACCAAGAAAACTTCAGCAGGGGAGGCTCTGGTATGTCCACATCTGCTCTGAGAGTTAGTGCCTCTGCTAATTTCTGTGCTGGGGTTGACAAAGTGGCCACCCTGAGGTGGCTGCAGAAAAGATTTGGGGGCAAAAATGCTCATTTTTGCGTTGTGCTGATGTAAAATGATGAAATGGCAACAGCAGCTTTTGACTGCATCCTTCAAAACATGCTGCCAAGTGCTCTTCCTGTGAGACCTGCTCTGTCCCCTCGGCGATGGAGCAAGGGGGTGGTGATTCTCCCTGAGCTCTCTATCCCTAAGGAAGGGTGCTCGGAGGGAGAACTTTCTCCAGTGTCTGTGGTCGTTGTGGATAAAACTGTAAGAGATGAATGTGTGTGCTTGAACGTGCTTTATCTACTTGAGCTAGGCTAGGAGGCTAAATGGATTACAGTCATCGATGGTTTAAATTCAGCATGAAAAAAGATCCAGAGGTATCTAGTTGGGGGTTTTGTGAGGTTTAAGAGTCTTAAATATTCGCTCGGGGGAGATCCTTGGCTAAACATGCTGAGCCACAGTATGCTGGAGTGCTGAGTGGGCGAGCTGTGGCTCTGGTGTGGGTGCCCAGCTGGCCACCTCCTCCCCAGGAGTTCAGCTGGGCGAGCTTAGAGCAAGTTAGTGGGGCAGAGAACCCGATCCAAGAGCCCCTTTCCTCTTCCAGCCTGAGAATAACAAGCAATAGGGTGGCATCTGCCAGCTGCAGGCTCTAGGGAGACTGCCTGGTTCTGGGGATGAAGTCTCATTTGCTAACCAGAGATAATGCTACCTTTGTTCCAGCACTTAAATGCAAAGCACGTTACGAGCTTTTTATAGCCACTCCACGCGGAGTGGATACATATTTAGCTGGAAGAGGCAAGCTCGCAGCACCGTTTGGGTGTTGTGAATGGAATTCCGCCTTCCACCCACTCACATCATAAGGAGGATGGGAAACGGCCGCGTAAGAAATGCGTCACTGGCTATTTGGGGGAAAACCAGAGGAAGATCAGAATAATAAGTGTTATACAACTGCTGAACATGCGGGTTCTTGGAAGACAGGGAAAGGGAGAGCGCAGTACGTTAGGGCCGAAATCATGCGAGTGTTTGATACCTTACGACAGGGGTCACAGCAGTAACTCGGTGTTTCTGTGGAAAGTAGGCAGTAAAGGCCGATTATTTAAATATTTATCATTAAAATCAGCCCCCCAGCATTTAGTGGTGTCATAGGGGTTGTGGTATGAATAAACCAGCCAAAGCACAGCAAAGCTGGGTGGGAAGGAGCAGACCAGAGACCAGGCACACATGGGCTTGTGAGCTTTGTGCTGGGCTGGAAAGGACTCCTGTGGCCAGCCCTTGCCCATGTTGGATGTATCCTGCTGGCATGTTCGGACTTGGGGTGGTGTGAGGAGCAGCTTCACACTATTGTGATACCTTGAGCCAGTACTTTCAGGGGCAGTTGGACAGGGAAGGCAGGCTGTGGATGGGGTTCCTGAGGGAATAAAGGGTGCTGGGTGCAGAGCAGGAGGCCTCAGTAAGACACAGGACGTGTGCATCCGAGGTGGGTGATGGGGTGGCAGCAGGGTGAGTAGCAAGAGTTGCACCAGCATCGCATGGAGATCGGGATGTGGACAAGGCGCAATGGCTTTAAACTGAAAGAGGGGAGATTTCGATTAGATCTAAGGAAGAAATTTTTCACTCTGAGGGTGGTGAGGCACTGGACCAGGTTGTCCAGAGAAGTTGTGGCTGCCCCATCCCTGGAAGTGTTCAAGGTCAGTTTGAATGGGGTTTTGGGCAACCTGGTGTAGTGGAAGGTGTCTCTGCCCATGGCAGGGGGGTTGGAACTGGATGATCTTTGAGATCCCTCCCAACCCAAACCATTCTGTGATTCCATGATTCTATGAGCCGAAGGACCCGGAGGCAGCTGGGTGTGATCCCTGCTGGGTGACCTGCATGCCACAGTGACTCGTTCTGTAATAACTGCCTTGTGTTTGCATGTGCCTGTCTTAAGGAAGACAATGACCTGGAAGACATTGACAGCCTGCTGGAGAAGATTGAGGATACCAATGGGCTATCACAGCAAACCCAGAGCGGAATCATCGCTGACAGCAGGCCGCTGCTCTATGTAGAGCACAGGTAGTGCTTGCTTTCCTTCAGGATTTTGGCCTTGGTCGTGACGGGGGTATCTGTTCCCCTGAGGAAGGGAGTTGGGAGCCTCCCAGTGTGACCTGGCCATGAATTCAGGATCCTGTTTGAAAGGGGTTGTGGTGGTGTTTGTGCACAGCCCCGTTTCTAGCCGGTGCTCTTAGAGCTGCGTTGGGCTTTGAGCGGTGAGTGATGTTCTCTGCGGTCACGCCTGGTTTTGAGTGGACATTTGGAACAGATTAACCTCCAGAGGTGCCTTCCAGCCTAAAACACTCCGTGACTCTGCAGGAGCATCTTTGCAGAGCTGCTGAGAACCCTGATGCAGAAAGTTTGCAATCAAACTCGCCTGGCCAGGTGACCGGCTGCATTCAGACGGGTGCCGCAAGCAGCAGGTCCCAGTACGACATGTGCAGTCCTCCCAGGGGGGCTGGGCAGTGCCAGGAGCTAATTTCACCAGGAAAGCTGGTTGGACTTGTCTGACCTTCCCCACATGTCACCGTCAACTAAGTGGACTAAGTGCCAAGCGTGTCCGAGAGCTGAAGAACGAATCAGACTCGGACTTGAGAGCTGTAACATCTGGGCCTGTATCGCACTGGGAAACCTGGTGGGAATGGGCTGGGTGGTGGGTCCAGCGTGTTTCAGAGCCCTGGGCTGGTGCAGGCGCTGGTGTTGTTGGGAGGAAACATTTAAACTTGTAGCCAGGACAACTTACTGGTCCAGGTTTTGAAACCTCCAGTCACGCTGCATCCAAACGGAGCCTGAGCCGATGGGCACTCGACGCTGGCACAGCCTGTGCAGGGACACCTCGGGCAGAACGTTTGTTTGCCTGGAGGTGGTTTTAAACCTCAGTGACATTTCTGGTCAAGTAAACGTTATTCAGAAACCTTTGAGAGCTGGGTAATCTCCGAGTGGGTGAGGGCTGGCAGTGCTGAATCTCAGTCTTCCCACTCCCTCTCTTCAAGCCCTGCTCACTGGGTGGCAGAGAAACCCCTCTGGAATACACCTCCCTTCTCTGGGCCAAACGTTAGATCAAGAGAACTCTAGGTGTTGTCATGCTTTGATACAAGATTTTTTTATTAAAAAAATGTATTTCAATCCTTGCCAGGCTCCGTGCAGCGATTACAGTGCGTGCCCCGAAGGGCAGCAGCAGTCTCGTGTTTTCCAGGCACGCGTACCCCGAGCGTGCACTCCCCAGCAGCTGCTGGCCCAGGAGTGGCCCGGGCTGAGGCCCCAGCTCCCCTGGAGAGGGCAGCAGAAGTATTCCACGGCTCAGCGCCCTGTGGGAGCAGAACACGAAAGAATTATGTGTCTGATTGAACAGGGCCTGCGATGCCTCTTGTTCTGACCACGTGTAGTCTCCTTTCGGTGTGTTGGGTCAGAACAGTGAGGTGTATGGGACAGTTCAAGGTCCAGAGCACATGGTGTTGGTGGAGAGGACCGGGTGTGAGACTTTTGGCTATGTTTAACTGACAGTAGCTTTTTTTTTTTCTTGTTTCAACCTTCTCAGAAACTTAAATCCAGAGAACGAGTTGAAGAGATACTTTGGGGCTCGCGCTGTTCTTGGTGATCAGAGGTTAGTGCAGAATTTACTATTAAACCCTTTCAAGGTCGGAGTTGGTGTGTCTGTCCTTCCCTTGGTGCGGCTTACCGAGCCCCCGGTGCCACACCTGGGCAGGGAACCCAGGGCACCTCGATGTGTGCAGGGGTCTTACTCATTTAGTAGTCACTTTTTGGGACAAGAGTATTTTTTACGGTGTGTGAGGCAGGGAGCAAGACTCCTCCAGGCTTTTGCTAGCGTTTGCTTTTTCTTCTGCTGATTTCCCCTCTTGTTTACTGTCAAATGCTCTTCTAAAGTCCTTTCACTGAAATTCATATAGATGCCCAGATTTTTTTTTTTTTCTTTCTCCAGCATTTGTCACTTGTTTCTTTTCCAAAGTCTCTGATGTCTTACACAGTGGACTCTGAATACTTTCTGGAGGGTCTCACACACTTGCTTTCAGGGGCCCAGGGAACCTACTGCTGCTTGGGTGCAAGGTCTCTATGCAGTTATCCATTGCACCGGGGTCAGTGTTAGCCAGAAATCCCTGCTTTCATGAGCTGGTTGAAAAACGTGCCCATAAGAAGGCTGTAAGTTCAGAGCAGCAATGGGGGAAGCAGAAGCCTTCTCTGAGCGAGTCCGTGGAAGAATATTTAGTGCCTAAGGAAGAAGCAATCCCTTACTGAGGAGACCTGACTTCCTTAGAGTGTCCTTGATTTCCAAATTCCTCCTGCCCTGAACCAATAAATTGGTTGCATTTGTGAGTACAGCTTAAACTAAATCAGTCGACATTTAAAGGCACTGCTGGGGAGAGATGAGTCAGAGGGATGTGGGGCTCTCTTAATTGGACCTGGGAAGCTGTTTGAAGCAAAGAGGCAGCTGAGAACTTGGCAGGAATAAAAACAGGGGAGATGAGCTATTGAAGTGGAAATGCTGGAAGCACTGGCTGGCCCAAAGAGGGATGGTTGAAGTAAGGCAGAGCCTGAGCGGAGGTATGTTGTGTCTTGAAGGCAAACCGGTTAAAGCTCCGGGCAAAAGCTCTGTGTGGCAGGACTGCAGCTGGGGAAGAAGTTTGATCCCTTTTTCCCAGAATCATCCTCTTTCTGGCTGGTTTCAGCCCTCCTCGTTCTGTTAGGGCGGAGAAACTGTGACCTCTCATGTTTATTTCCTCAGGCCAAGGCAGAGGCAGCGCCAGTACGTCCGCAGCACGTGGCTGACAGCTCCGAAGAACACCTGGCCGCGCTACAGCAAAACAGGTGAGGCTTTCGATGCCACCTCCTGAAGCACCACGCTAGCTGCTGGGGCACGTCGGTCCCGTGCCCGTGTTGGCACAGGTGACTGCTCCTGCCAGCCTGGCTTTCCTAGAGCCTCTGCGCACAGAAACCAGAGCTGCTTTCCTCACCTGCCAGGCCCAGACTTCAGGCTGGCTGATGCAGAAAGGGACCTGCTTATCAGCTGATGGAAATACCTCCTTTCTCAACAGGGAGAACTTGATCATGTTGTATTTTAGCATCTGAGCTTTTTTGTTTTCCTCCCCCTTATTGGAGGTAGCAGGTGGTGTGTGCTTCCCTTCTTACAGCAGTCTTGCTGGATGATGAGAAGTATCCATGGGGAGATCAAGCTGCCTGGGCTTCTTGAGTGGGTTTTGGACTTTGACACACGACAGGGGGAAAAGGAAGGAAATTCTCTGGGAGTTTCTGAGAACACGACTGGCTTTGGACCCAGTGGTGTGAATGAGCTTTCTGTGTTACAAGAAAGCAGAAGAGCTGCTCTTGCCGCTTGTGCTCGCCGGCTGGCAGCAGCAGTGGTACCCACGTGCCCCATGCACCCTCTAGGTATTACCATGCAGCTGGTGGACACCAGGAGGGGAGTGCAGTACTTCACGTTCGAGCACCATCGCGAGTACCAGCATGTGCAGTTCAAGTTCCTGGATGCTGTAGAGTCCATGGACCCCAACAACATCGTGGTATGTTATGAAATTGGGTTGCCCGTGCTGTTACCTCCTGCGTTCCTGCTCCTGGCCCTGACAGGGGAGGTGGGCTGATGCATCCCAGTGCTTGTTTTTTGCAAATCTCATTTTGGGCAATAGAGCTCGGGTACCCCCTCTGTGTGGGGTGAGGCAGCGTTGCTTGCTGAGCTCTGCTTTCGCCTTATGAATAAGATAAGTGACCATCTT